GTCCGAGGCAAACGCATAGTTAAGTCTTAGGCTATTGTGTCCCGAATAAGAGATCAAAATTTCGCCGTCGTTCGCAACTTCTCCCTTCCTTTCCTCCGAGTAACGTTTTTACGAGAAATTAGCCTTCAGTCCTACTAGAACTAACACTACCAAATACAAAATTCCACTTTTAAGAGTTATTATACTGTTACTTATAATAATAATAACCATTAGTACTTATACTATCGCTATGAGTGTACCACGTACTAATACCACTGCTAGTACCACTATTATCATACTGTTACTGTTATTAGTGACTAACAACACTATCACGTATTGTCACTTTTAATACGGCTACACATAGGCCTGTAACTATAACTATTAAAAAAAGTACCACCCGTACACCAAGTACGACTACTGACATTTAAATTATAACTACATTTCATTCTGTTAATAATACTACTACTACTACTACCACTATGAAACCAACGACTGCTAGCACTGCTTATATTATTCAAATATTATACGTAGTGTCACTTCTGCTGGCAATAGCATTAGTACTGCGTTTGCTATTTGTAATATTATTACTACTTCAGCAGAGACGCAATATATTTTCTATCTATCTATCTATCAAAACACGTTGACCTCGTCATCGAGTTCCAGTTTACATATTTATTTAAATTCTGACGGAGACTAAATTATAGTTAATTCTTACAATCTAAAATAAGGTGCTTAGAATAGCCTTAACGTTTGCTCTCTTTCAATCTCTATCCATCTTCTTTCCTCGTTAATTTTTAGCGATAGTTTAGCCCTCAAAATTACTAGTAGTAATGATACTTCTCCTTATCATACGTCCTTCTATTTCTAATACTAATTTAGCTGGTACAGTTACTGCATGTATGAGTAATGACTACTAGTTACTTTACTACAACCATTAATATTAACTATAACTAATAGTGCTGTCACTATTACCAGTACATAAACTATTTCTGCTAGTACTCATTAACACTTTGACCAGGTACGTTTACTGCGCATACTGCCACGCATACGGTTGTAACTGCTACGGCTATCACAAAAATTGCGACTACTACTACTATCAGTGAATTGATGATGCTTCTTCATTTGTCACTTTTACTACGTCAACTACTGCTAGCACCAGTAGTAGTACTACCGCTAATAATATTTCGCCTGCTTTTACTTTAAATTCCACTGCCACTAGTAATATTATTGTGTCCGTTTTTCTCCTGTACTATTGCTAATAATCTTAATGTTACTTTTGTTATTTCTTCTAGTAATATTACTGAAATTAATTGCACTACGCATAAATCTATAATATCGATACGCCTATTAATACAAGTGCTACTA